ATCTTACATTTAAGTCCTTTATCCATTTCGAGTTTACTTTGTGTATGGTGTAAGTTGGTGGTCTAGTTTCATTTTTTTGCATGTATCTGTCCAATTTTCCCAACACCATTTATTGAAGAGACTGTCTTGACTCCATTGTATGTTCTTGCCTCCTTTGTCAAATATTAATTGAGCGTATTGGTTGGGGCTGATTTCTGGGCTCTCTATTCTATTCCATTGATCTATATGTCGGTTCTTGTGCCAGTACCAGGCAGTTTTGAGAACAGTGGCTTTGTAATACAGCTTGATATCTGGTATTGAGATCCCACCTACTTTGTTCTTCTTTCTCAGGATCGTTGCAGCTATTCAGGGTCTTTTTTTTTTATTCCAGATGAATTTTTGGAGAGTTCGTTCTAGGTCTGTGAAATGTGCCGTTGGTATTTTAATGGGAAGTGCGTTGAATTTATAGATTGCTTTGGGTAGTATAGACATTTTAATGATGTTAATTCTACCAATCCAGGAACATGGTATGTTCTTCCATCTGTTTATGTCCTCCTCTATCTCTTTTTTCAACGTCCTGTAGTTTTCTGAGTAGAGGTCTTTTACCTCTTTAGTTAAGTTTATTCCTATGTATCTTAATTTTTTTGGTGAGATGGTAAATGGGATTGCTTTTTTAGTCTCTCTTTCTGTAAGTTCACTATTGGTGTATAGAAATGCCATAGATTTCTTGGTGTTAACTTTTTATCCTGCTACATTGCCAAATTCATTTATTAAGTCTAATAGTTTTTTGATGGAGTCTTTAGGGTTTTTTATGTATAATATCATGTCATCTGCGAATAAGGATAGTTTTACTTCTTCTTTTCCAATTTGGATGCCCTTTATTTCATCTTCTTGTCTAATTGTAGTGGCTAATACTTCCAGTACTATGTTGAACAGGAGTGATGAAAGTGGGCATCCCTGTCTTGTTCCTGTTCTTAGGGGAAATGGTCTTGGTTTTTGTCCATTGAGTATGATGTTGGCTGTGGGTTTGTCATATATGGCGTTTATTATGTTGAGGTATGACCCTTCTATTCCCACCTTGCTGAGAGTTTTTATCAAAAATGGGTGTTGAAAAAAAAAATGGGTGTTGGATTTTGTCAAATGCTTTTTCTGCATCAATTGATATGACTATGTGGTTTTTTTTCTTTCAATTTGTTTATGTGATGTATCCCATTTATTGATTTGCGGATATTGTACCATCCTTGCATCCCTGGAATAAATCCTACTTGGTCATGGTGTATGATCTTTCTGATGTACTGCTGGATCCGATTTGCTAAGATTTTGTTGAGGATTTTGGCATCTATGTTCATGAGGGATATTGGCCTGTAATTCTCTTTCATTGTGTTGTCTTTCCCTGGTTTTGGTATTAGGGTGATGCTGGCTTCATAGAATGAGCTTGGAAGTGTTCCTTCCTCTTGAATTTTTTGGAATAATCTGAGGAGGATAGGTTTTAGTTCTTCCTTGAATGTTTGGTAAAACTCCCCTGTGAAGCCATCTGGCCCTGGGCTTTTGTTTGCTGGAAGCTTTTTGATGACTGATTCAATTTCTTCCATAGTTATTGGCCTGTTGAGATTTTTAGATTCTTCCTGATTGAGTTTGGAATGTTGTATTTTTTTAGGAATATGTCCATTTCCTCCAGGTTGTCTAGTTTGTTGGAGTAGAGTTGTTCATAGTATTTTTTAACAGTCATTTGTATTTCTGTGGGGTCTGTTGTTATTTCGCCTCTATCATTTCTGATTTTGTTGATTGGGGTCTTTTATCTTTGCTTCTTGGTGAGCCTGGCTAGAGGTTCATCAATCTTTTTTATCCTTTCAAAGAACCAGCTCTTGGTTTCATTGATTTTATGTATTGGTTTTTTGGTTTCTATGTCATTTATTTCTGCTCTAATGTTTATTATCTCCTTCCTTCTGCTCACTCTGAGCTTTTCCTGTTGCTCTTTTTCGAATTCTTTGAGATGTAGAGTTAGATGATTTACTGCCATTTTTTCTTGTGTTTTTGAGGTAGGCCTGTAGAGCTATAAACTTCCCTCTCAGGACTGTTTTCATTGTGTCCCATAGGTTTTGGATTGTTGTATTTTCATTGTCATTAGTTTCCAGGATGTTTTTAATTTCTTCTTTGATCTCATTGGTAACCCAATCAATATTTAATAACATGCTATTCAGCTTCCAAGTGTTTGAGTATTTTGGGTGGTTTTTATTGTAGTTTATTTCTAATATTATGCCATTGTGGTCTGAGAAGATGCTTGGTATGATTTCAATCTTCTTGAACTTGGGGAGACTTTGCTTGTGACCCAATATGTGGTCTATTTTTGAAAATGTCCCATGTGCACGTGAGAATGTATATTCCGTGGTTTTGGGGTGAAATGCTCTGAAGATGTCAAATGAGTCCATCTGATCTACTGAGTCATTTAGGATTGCTGTTTCTTTGCTGATTTTTTGTCTAGAGGATTTATCCAGTGATGTCAGTGGTGTATTAAAGTCCCCTACTATGATTGTATTGTTGTCGATCTCTCCCTTGATATCTTCCAGGAGTTTTTTATGTATTTGGGTGCTCCTAAACTTTGGCAATTTTACAATATCATTAGAATAGGCTTGAGCACAGAGCCACCATCTTAAACTTTTGCGAAAATGTGTGTTTTAATGATCATATCATGTGGCTGCAGGTACTATTTTGCCCCTTGATGGAAGCATAGTAAAATCACAAAACTTATTGAAATATACTTCTTCAATATTCAACCATTTATCCATTTATCTACCCATGCATCTATCCATCCAACACTATGGGCCAGGTATCCTGTTGGACACTGGTGATATAACAGTGAACACGACCAACATGGCCCTTACCTCACAGTAATTACGGCCTAGTAAAAATTCCTTAAATAGCAGCAAAAACAATCACGAGTTGACAGATTTGTGACAATTTCTTGAAAGAGAGAAAAAATAAGTGAAATTAACTTTTTAGCCTTACCTGGATTTTGCTAAAACATTTATTTGAAAAAAGTGCTTCCTGAAAAATTATATTTTGAGGGATACTCTAAATGTGCATATAGAAGAAAGAAAGATAGAAAGTGAAACTTGAAAAGAGAAAATTTTTGAAAAATGTTACTTTGGTTTTCCTAAAAAGTGTTTAGAAATAATGATTATTTTCCATAGCATTTTATGCTTTTTGAAGCAATTATACCAGCCATGTGAGTTGGAGCAAATATTATTTTCCCCATTATATAGATGAGTCAGCCGAGGCATAGATATTTAAGTGCCCAATATCCCACAGCTATATAGAATTCAGAGTTCTACCCACTTCTTTTTCTATTACATCATGCTGAAAAATCCCAGACTCCAGTATAAGGTCCTATAAAACCCCAAAGATTTAACAAAATGTAAGATATTCAGGAAGCCAAAGTCACTAGCACAAAAGAAGGAAAACAAAGTACCACAAGGAGGATGTTTCTCTGCTATAGGCTATTAAGTAGGTCACCCACTAAAAGGCTATTTTGGTCTAAAATTTTAGAGGGCATGTAGTACATACACCAACATCACTGACCTGATTCTTCACTTTCAAGATCTAAGAAAATCAAAGGCAGTTTTTTTTTTTTTTTTTTTTTTTTTTTTTTTTTTTTTTTTTTAAGGGAGGGGTGGGTCATTTGGATAGCTCAAGAGAATGTTAGTTGGGAAATTTGATTTAGCCAGGCTAGTGCTCTAGATTTTCTGTGAGGTGTGATTCACTAGAGGTGATGCTGTTTTAAGAAGGGGACAGCTTTGTATCTCTATAATGCAGAGTCAGCGGTTTCTCTTTCTTCCTTCCTCCCTTTCTTTCTTTCTTTCTTTCTTGCTTTCTTGCTTTCTTGCTTTCTTTCATCTCTTTGTCTTCCTCCCCTCCTCTCCCCACTCCTCCCCTCTCCTTTCTCTTCTCCCCTCCCCTTCCTCCCTCCCCTCCCTTCCCTTTTCTCTTTTTTTTTTTTTTTCTATTCTCTTCTTATGGAAGCACATCTGACAAATTGTTAATATTTAATTTGCTATAAAACAGCTCTCCCAGACAATGGCTGCTCACTATAATTCCAATCTCTGAAACTGTTTTTGCCCCCAGGTACACTGGGATCAAATTAGAATGGACATTTTTCCCTTACTGTTTATTTATGGAAGCATAGGCACTTTGTTATTAGCTGGCAATGAAACTACTAAGGAAAATAATATACTTTCATCTCATTTCAATTTGACTCTTTACTTCATTGTATCCATCTGGCTTAAGGTAAAACATTTCTTCTAATATTTTAATCTTAAATTTAAATATCCAAGCTTAATGATGATTTTTCCCTAGTCTAAATCTTCTAAATCTTTTTCACTTTGTTCACATTTTAAAAACCATGAACTTTTTTTATCATATGCCATCGTAAAAATAGTCTTAAATTAATACACATTTGCCTCTTCTCTCTCTCTCTCTCTCTCTCTCTCTCTCTTCTCTCTCTCTCTCTCTCTCTCTCTCTCTCTCTCTCTCTCTCTCTCTCTCTCTCTCCCTCTCTCCCTTGCCCCCCAAAGAGGGATGGTTTGGAAAAATATACACAAATTTGGAAACCTAGTGAATGCTGCAATTAGGCTCCTGAAACAAAACCCCTGCCCTTTTGCCCTGCCTGATTCCTTGTCTGTTCCCTGCTGGAAGGATGGTATAGGGATGGTATAGGAAAGGAAGAGGATTACTTTGAAAGATTCAGCTATCTATGAAACAGAGGTGTGGAAGGATGTGTTTATTTGATAGGTAGCATTAAATTGCAGAGACCTCCAGATTAATCATGGTAATGCAATTTTCAACAGCTTAGATTTTCTTTCTTTTCCTGCAGCCACTGGGGAGGAAAAAAGGATTAGAAAGACTATCAAAAACCGTTGGCACGTTTAATCTGGTTGGGTACTTAATTTATTAGCAGAAATGCGAACTGCCTCAGGTTGATGATTTAACATGTTGGCTGGGGGTGGAATAAATCTCACACTTACCTGTTCCAAAATTGTGTTAATCCTTTCGACTTCGCAGTCAATCAGGTATCGCTTTTCCTGTCTCCTGTCCATTTCTTCAATGATGCGCCTGAATTCTTGGACGTCCTTTATGTTTCCCACAGACCTTGCTGTCACTTGCCAGTTGTTTTGCACTGCTGCTTCCATAATTGCTTGGAGGATGGAAAATCCTGAATGAAGGAAAGACAGCCATGATGATTTTTTTCCTTTAAAAGTCTTTCTGTAGGTATTAAAAGTTCTATTGAATTTTTATTCACAGCCCATTGAGTCTCTGTGAACCTTATCTGTTGTGGACAGAAGGCTTAGCTATAACCTCAGCCTTAACCTTCCAATTGGCAACTCTATCTTGTTTTAAAGGGAGGAAGATTCTACAATTTGTGGCCACCAGGCTAGGTGTTCATCAAGCCTGTACTTAATCAATCACAGCTGAATTATTTTTATTGACATGCATTATCAAAATATCTATGGAGCCTTAGCCAGTTTTGCTCAGTGGATAGATCATTGGCCTGCAGACTACAGAGTCCTGGGTTCAATTCCGGTCAAGGGCACATACCTCGGTTGCAGTTGCAGGCTTAATACCTGGCCCTGGTCAGGGTGCGTGAAGCAACCAACTGATGTGTCTCTCTCATATTGATGTTTCTCTCTCTCTCTCTGTCTTTTCCCCTCTCTCTAAAAATCAATGGAAAAATATACTTGGGTGAGGATGAACAACAACAAAAATATATATAGAATAAATGTCAAGATCTTCCTTATATCTGAATACAATCTTCCCTATTGTAGTTGAAGCTCATTTCTTTCATCTTCCATAAACATTCTTCAAAATAAAGATAGCTTTAGTAGAGATAGAACCTTATTATAATATAGCTAATACTTATATAAGCTCAGTTTTCTTTCTCATGGACTGCTACCAAGCCAACAAAGTAAATTATATCTTTCAAGTAAAATAACCCTAAGAAAACCTGACAAAAATGGTCTATTACAAAGATATACTGATTCTTTGATCACAACATGATGAAAAAGTTCAATCATACTAAATCTTCCTGAGTTCTTCCCATTTCTAAATTAAATTTACCAGGGATTCTTGTTTTTTTTGTTTGTTTTTTTGGTTTTTTTTTTAGTTAATTTATATCAGACAACCATTAATTACTAATACCCTGGAGCTATGCCAAATGGAAAAGAGAAAAAAAATCTGGTGCTTGAGTTTTTGGTAACCTTTTTGGAGTCAGGGTTTGAGAAGCTGGGAAGAACAGTATATCTTAAAGTATGAATCACACAATATTACAGGGGTTTCTATGTATTGGTCTTTAGACTATTCGTGTCTCTATTTTATATCATTCCTCTATTTTTGCTTCTGGTATTAGTCCATAATTTAAGTGTAATTTAATCAACTGCTCACATCATTTTATTGGGCTATGGTCAAAAGCAACTTCCTTCCTCCCATAAATTTAAATAGTTTTCCATTTATATTTAGGTAATGACTAATGGGAGTGGGTGATGAGGATGATTTGCAAAGCCAAAATGATCTGTGGCATAACAGTTTGGCCAAAGAAGTAGAAAATGAAGGAAGCTTGTGCTGCCCTTTAAACATATTCCAGGTTCAGTGCTGTCTTGAGCTCACCCTGTAGTGTAAGCAGACTATGGTTGGGAATCTTCTCCACTGCACCATAGAAAATGGTATTGACATTTGGAGATCACGCTTCAGGGAGATGGCAGCAGTGACTCAGTCGTCATTATGATTCCTTTGTGTGCTGGGTGTATGCAGGAAGAAGATCACAAAAGAGACCCAAGCACTTGGTAATTTCCAGATAGCAATTTCAGCATAGGAGCTCAAAATTACAGATCAGAGTAAATTACCATTGCTTTAAATGTTAATTCTTACTCTTTTTAAGCCAACCACACATATTGTTTCTCAGATTTACATTTTTGTGTGGGTTTTCAATGTGCTCTTTGCTTCAGTGGGAGTTGAGGGCACATGGTAGGCCAAAGCATGGGATTAAGAAATAAGCATAGGAAGAAAGAGATTAAAGTATTTGAAAATCTTTCTTAAGCAGTATACAATAAGGCCTTATTATTTTGAATACCACTAATTAACAACTTATGAAAACTCACCAAGGACTAGTTTGAATTTTACTTCTGTACTATTTATGAAGAAAGTATTGACTGAATAATAATGGCAATGAAATTACACACAGTATCTTAGATATACTTAAATTAAACATTTAAAAAGACCATTTAGCAAAGTAAAAGTTTTTTTCTGTTGATTCAAAACCTATGTTCTTGTAATCTCTGCTATTTAGTCCAGTTCCACCATTTTGGGGCCAAAGGTACAAGTTTAATCCCTTTTCCATGTGACAGTACTTCACATTTTAAAAAACAGTTAACATCTCTCTTTATCTTCTTTTTCTTCAGGCTAAACATGTCCTGATTCTTCAACAATTACTTTTGTGACATGATGATAAGTTCCCTCACTGTTCTGTCTTTTATGGGTATTTGTCAACATTTTATTGATCCTGATAATTCAGATGTGATTTGACCAGTGTGGATGACAATGAGATATTGCTTGATTTGTTATACACTGTTATTTTAGTAGCCTAGGATTGCTAATGTTTTTCAATAGCCATATTATATCGTTAATTAATATCAAGCTTGGATTCAACTAAAGCATGCGAGTTCTCACTGTAAAAACCTCTGCTCTGTAACAACTCACCATCCATATATCAAGATTCTTCCATATATTCTTCCATTTCAATCTACTTTTATCTTCTTTTCTAATTTCTTACCCTATCCCAATCCTCACTTCTTCCTTGCTTACACATTTGCTCAAATCTGTAAGATGGTCTTTCCCACTTAGTCAGTATTCTCCTTGTTACTCAAGGCAATTGCACCTGTATGTCCCCTTTTCTGGCACTTCCTGCTACACATAGACCTTTGTGGAAGATTCTCTACTCATATGAAGCTTCCCATATTGATTTCTCAATTATTTCCCCAGAAATGAGATTCAATTTCAAAATAAAAGTATTATAAGCAATGAAGAAATGGATTTAAAGCACTGTATGACAGAAATTTAAAAATTAAAAATAAAACTGGAGAAATAAATTATATTACACACACATGAAGTACTATACTGCTGTTCAAAAGATAGCTCAATCTCTATAAAATAAAAGATTTCTGTAATATATTATTACATAGAAAAAAGCCACAAAATAGTATGTTTAGCTTAATTTCATTTTTTTGTAAAAAACACATTTTTATATATATAGAAAAAATTAGAAAGCATTGGCAGTGGTTTTCTCTAAGGTGTAGGATTACCAAGAACTTCGACTTGCACTGTCATTTGTTTATGTAATGTTTGGCTATTTTACAAGAAGGAAGTATCATTTTCTGTAAGAATAAAAACAATAAAGGTTAAAAAATACAACTCAAGCCGTTCTTTCAGAGCATAAGCTCCTAGAAGACATGGATGGTAGATGAGTACAGCTCTATATGTTGCCTACTGCCACAAATTAGAGACCTCTTACTAAACACTGATTTTATAGATCTTTTTATACTTGTTCCTTGAACTATGTGAATGTATTACCTATTCAAAAGTACACTGCTTTATTAATGAGCTTGGGTATGGGGCCTCCTGGACTATGAGACTTGCTCACATGTCTGAGCAAGTCACAACTGTGGCTTAATACTGCAGTATCTTTTACCATGCAGTTTCTGTGTCCTCTTGAGTATGTGGCTGTGTACTTGAGAAGCCTAGGGGCAGTGATCACCTCAATTCAATACATGTCAGTGAACAATCCAACAAAAGCTTGTATTTGTGCCTAATTTATTATACTTTGACTATTCCCTGTTGCAGCTGACCAAAGAGAATAAATATTAGTTTGAGGGAGAAAAAAGGAAAGAAAAGTTTGTCTCTGGAGAAAGAGCAAAAGCAGGCATTGGTGCTTATCGGAGGTGAAGTGTGTAGTACCTCCTTTATTTTTGGCTTTGTTAAAGTAAGTTTGGTCTTTTAGTAGCTTCAGAATTGTCCTTCACTCTGAGTGAACTTTAACATGTCCAACTATGCAGTACTGAAAGTTACTTTTATTTAAGCAGCAACTTTTCTCATCCTGATTTCAGACCACTGTTGTTACCTACCTTCTTTTTCATCCTTGTCTTAAAGAATGGGAATTACTACATGATTAACTGGGTGAATGATATATTGTAATCTGCATTCAACCAAGATAATATAAGAGCCTGACAATAGAAGAGTGGCAAGGTGTTATGGGTGAAGAACTGGGCTGCAACTATGACCAATCCAATCCTACTGGATGGTTGTCAAGCAATTCTTGCTAAACAAGGGTGCCATCTGGGTAAAGGCTAGTGTAAGGATACTTATGCTGTATCACCCAAGTCCCCCTTTAGCACCAAAAGACTTATTTTTCCAGCTTCTGGGATAATTGTTGGCTGAAGAGTGCTGCCTAGCTCAAGGTTATACTTGCTTCCAAGGTCAGCCAGTATCTAATAATTGGTTATATGGAGAATAAAGGCACAGCCCTTTTACCCCAAATGGGGTGACTCTAACTCAACTTCAAAGCTCTTTTAAGGGTAGGCTGAGGTCTTGTTATAACTGCACCACAGCATATCTTCTTCTTCTGCCAAAACCCGCTTTCTTATTTTCCTCCAACAAGTGTCAATAATGAGAGTACTACTCCTCAGTAAACTTTTGCATTCAAATCTCCATCTCAGAATCTGCTTCCAGGGGATTTAATCTGTGGCTGTTAGGTTGACCTCATGACGAGGATGGAAACATACAGAAAGATCTCATATCTATAATTGTCAAAACCATTTTCACAGTGGAAAAGAAGGCTAGGATTTTGCTCAATGTACAAACAAAGTAAACACTGTAACATGCTGAGAAAATTTAGTATTTGATCTGAAGACACAGATTATTGACATATGGAAGTTGGTAATGAAGACACCTAAGGAAATACAGTTGAGGATAATTTTCTTCTTTCTACTTTGCATCTTCCAGCAGGGTTAGCACTACCTATTGTTGCTCATGAACCACTTCCCCCACCCTCTCAAGAAAGTACTTTCTGAGGGTTGTGCAAGTGTAGCCTTGCACAACTCTCAGAGAATGTAGTCCCCATCCTGGAAACAAGTCTCTTCACTTCCAAGTTAGTGCTCTTTCAAGAAC